GCCTTGCGTACTTTTCGATAATATGCACCTTGACTACAAGTTCGATAACTCAGGATTGCTTGTAGACACTATCTTCTCTGAGAGGCTTTGGAGAGACACCATTTGGCTGTTGTTGGAACACCAATCAGAAAGAGTCTCCACCGACGCCTGGCTCACGGCACCTTGTCGCCGGCCAGATTTCTGCTTTTTGAGAGAAAGCAAACCGGACAGTTTAAAAGAGCTGGAGGATCGAAGGACGGAAAGCATTCTCTGATGATACCTGGACCTGACTGCTCTGGCAGAGCGGTATAAATCGCCCAAGAAACAATAGCAGATGGGATTGAGGCTGGAGTTAGTGAGACCCAGCCACTGCGTGAAAGGCCGAGTCTGCAGAACCCAGTGAGGTGGCTGAACCTCGCGGTCAATCAGGATGTCTGCAACGTAAAGCGGGAGCCAGGAGACGGCGAATAAGAGAACCAAAGTGACCACCACCTTGGCGATCTTCTTGCGCATCTTCAGACGTGAAGCGTGCACGGCCTGGCTGTGTGGATCGAAGTCGGCAAAATGTTGAGAAGCCCTGCAGAGCTTCCTGCCTGTCAGAAAGCTGATGATTAGGTTGAAGGTCACGGGGATGCAGTAGAGAGCAACAAAAAGGAGCACGTTGTAGACCTGCTTGAGTCTCGCTTGTGGCCAAAGCTCTCTGCAGATCGGCACGGCGATGTCAATTAAGTGGATCTCGTCCAGCTTGATCATAAAGAGCAAAGGTGCGCAAATGACTGAGGACAGGATCCAAACGCACACAATGGTGATACAGATCTTCTTTTGGGTGAAGTACGAGAGGGAATTCAGCGGGCTGTGAACGCTGTAGTATCTGTTGACGCTGATGACGGTCAGGCTGAGGACACTTGCCGACACGGACACGGCCTGGATGAAGGGAACAGCCCGGCACAGGAGGTCTCCGTACACCCATGCAGTGTAAATGGTGTGGCCAAGCGTGATGGGCATGCAAATGCAAACCACCATTAGATCACACACCGCCAAGTTGATGAGTAAACTCCGGGTGGCACTGATGCTCTGCATCCTCTTACTCTTCTGGCAGGTGAGCATTCGAATGGCCATGAGATTTCCAATGAAACCCACCACAAATGATAATGAATACATGACGGTGAGAGCGATAGTGGTGGGCTCTTTGATTGTCAGCAGCAGCAGTCTCTCCAGCTCTCCACTCTGGTGGAGGAAAGCATCATTTGCGAAGTCCTCGGCACCGGGGAAAGAGGCATTCAAGGACAGCAAGGCGTTTGAGAGCAGAAGCTCTTTTTTCAGCAAGCCAGCAGTGAAATTCATATTCCTTTTGTTTCCCCTAAAGGTTCAGGGGATATTTGTGACGTTTTGATATGTGGTGCTTGGAATCCAAAGGCTGCTTCAGACATCCCAGAGTCGATTACTAAAGCTCAAGGCATCTTCATCTTCAGCCAAAACGAATAAGGTAATGAAATCCATCATTTAGCCAACCGCCCTCTACGGAAACATGACACACATTAGGAGGGAAATTAAATGACAAGATAACCTGAAATCCAAGTAATTGCACTGACTAAACTGTAATCCTTAAAATCCAGTGCCCGATTAATGATAAATATCACAAATATCTTTATCTTTTACATTATATTACATTTTCATTTTTCTCCATAATCTTGTCATTTGTCGTGCAAGATTAAATTTCAGAATAAATAGTGCAGAATAAATAGTGTGTGATATTGTGTGTTGGTCCTTAAGGGCACCATTTTGCAAAATTATTCTCATTTCAGACTGTTTGAACTAGGTTTTTGAAACCAACAAACAAAACCCCTAGAGAAAACAGGCATTTGTGTTATTGGACTTCGCAGATAATAAAAATGAACTCTCAGCACAGGCTAGTACTGATTAGTAACAAATAACTCCGTCTTTTAATATTAAAATTTTTCTTCAAGTAAGATTAAACCGTGCCTATAGGCAAACTCTCAGGAATGAAGGATCGGGAGCCACAATAAATCTCATATCTTATCTAGCTGCTTAAAATGAATAAATTGCGTGTAATACATACTGTCGAAAATCCAGTTGTTTCTAAGCAGTTTTCCTCTGACATATTACGCATTGGTCTCTGTAAGTTAAGTCACTTTCTCCTTATTTCTTTCTGTCATGCATTAGAGTAATTATTGAATGAACAGTATAGCCTAAACTGCATCAAAACGACGCAAGATAGAAAGTAATTAGAGAAATATGAATACATACCGACGATATGTGTGGAGTAGCAGGTGCGCGCGCGTAATGTGCAGTCAGAGGACGGACTGGGTTCAATGTGCTTCTCCTTCATCTCCAGCTGATGGGAAGAAATGAGCGTCTGCGGATGCGGCTCACACGACTCTGCTGGCGGAGCTGATGCGTGTCTCTGATGTGATGGGAACAGTTTTCTCATTCACCTCTTCGCTCCGCACACACCGCGGTGTAGTGGCTGCAGAATTAAAGCGGTAGGCTACTCACCAATGCTTAACTAAAAAAAAAAGTTGTACACATAACTAAACGAACAGCACTTTTGATAGTCTACTACTGTATATTCGCATGAGATGAAGATGAAGATGTCTGTTTTATTCTACATGGAACGGGTCGCCACATCATGGGTGCCGCCTGCATGAGATCATCACATGATCAGCTGCATCATTCAATTAAATAATAGTAATAATAATTAATAATAATAAAATGTTCACCTTATATAGAACAAAAAGTACATTAAAAGCACAAAAACGCCTAAAAACAAAAATAAGCACACAAAACAGCTTGATCAATACAGAGCTCGAGTCAATAGCTTAGTTCAGAGTGATGTTATTGATCAGCACATGTGCGACCCACCGGTCCAAACTTAATGAGCACGAGTGGAAAAAAAGCCCACACAAGCAAACCCTGCTTTGAAGACTTAAAACAAACTGTGACAACACACTGCTCTTAAGACACAGAACACTGCAGCATCAAGCACAGAGTGCAAAGTCACAGCCACAGGAGACACTGTTTTTTACTTAATATTTCTCAGGGTAGGTTTATTTTTTTCATTTAGGCACAGCTTGAAGTCTTAGCTGCATAAATGCTATTGAAAGTTTATTTTGCACAGACATTTACTTTGTCACAGTGTGTGGGGTAAGCTGTCACAATGGGAACCTGCAATAAAACAGTCTATTATCAGCTATTAATGGCCTTTCACTCTCTATATAATATATTATGTGGTGCCTTTATGATGTAATGTACTTTGTTAAAGCACTTTGCTTGATCTATATTTAGCCTGTCGCTGTTAGGCTACAGATCAGCACTCTCCAGTCTTTGACGTCATGCAGTCTCTGCCAGAAAATGAGAACACAGTGCATTATCATTGATTAAAGAAAGATTTTGACCACTTGTTTTCTACTGTTCAAAAGTTTGGGGTCAGTAAAATTTTTCCCCTTTTCTTTTTTAATTAGCAAGGATGCATTAAATTGATCAAAAGTGAAAGTGAACACATTTATAATGTTACAAAATATTTCTATTTTAACTTTCTATTTATCAGATAATCCTGAAAAAAATATCAACATATATTTCAACATTGATAATAACAAGAACTGTTTAGTGAGCAGTAAATCGGCATATTAGAATGATTTCTGAAGAATCATGTGACACTGAAGACTGGCGTAATGATGCTGAAAATTCAGCTTTAACATCACAGGAATAAACTGCATTTTAAAATACATTCAAACATAAAAGTTATTTTAGATTGTAATAATATTTCACAATTTTACTGTCTTTACTGAATTTTTGATCAAATAAATGCAGTCCTGGCGAGCATAGACTAAGTGATTTCTTTCAGTGACATTTCTGACCCCCAAAAAAACGTACTGATCCCACATTTTGAACGGTAAAGTGTAATGTATAAAAACATATGTATTTTTTTGTATATGTATTTTGTATATGTAAAATATGTATTTATATATATATATTTTTGTCTTTTTATTTTATTCTTTTTTCATATAAAGTTCTGTTAAAGAGAGAAAATATGGTTAAAGGTTAGCCAGTCATATTTTATTTATTTGTAATTTTTACAGTTTCTACATATGGTATACATATTTGTATTCATTATAAGTATGTTTTATATTGGAAAACTGGTTTAAGTACTAAGAGTTTTATGTCAGTTTGACTAAATGTCATATGTATGCTTTGTATCATTTTAAACATTCATGCTTCAGTAAAATGCTTCCGTGCAAAGACAACATATTTTAGGTTCTTTGAGGATACATGTGATGTCACAGTAGAACAAGACTGTTGATGTTTTGTTGTTTCTCAATGAAATGTATGTTCATATCATATGTATTAATGAAGTATATTTATTTGTATGAGTGTAACCCCTCTCTCCCGGGTCCTCACCGCCACACCTTGTTCTTGATCCGAGTGGGACTCGAGCCCGGGTCTCCGGCATGGGAGGCGGACGCACTAACGAGGAGGCTAAAGACTGCAGAGATCTCTCTTGAGATCAGGGAAGTGAGGTTTACCTGCACAGCACCTACTCGCTTGCCTCCGATACACTCACCCCCCTAAACCTCACTCCCATCCGGGTCATGGCACCAATGTAACCCCTCTCTCCCGGGTCCTCACCGCCACACCTCGTTCTTGTTCCGAGTGGGTCTCCGGCATGGGAGGCGGACGCACTAACGAAGAGGCTAAAGACTGCAGCCGCTAGCATTACATGAGCATATTTTTTAGTATTTTCTTAGGATGTTTTTATCATAAGCAAACCCAGATGGATTTGCAGAATCTATTTTTGACATTGATTTTGTGGAAAAACATAAATTCTTAGTCACCCAGATGAGTCCTTCAGGAATCTTTTCAAACATCCCATTTATTCACAGATTCATATGAATATGGAGTTAAGGTAAGGCATGTCAATACTAATAATCACACCTTTACAGAGGATAATTAACCCAAGAGAATAATTATGAGTATTGAGGTGTGTAAACAGAAATGCAAAAAACAATAACCCACCATAAACAAACGCAAGGTTCACTCCATATGAATCATCTCAAGTCAAGTCTGCTTTATTGTCAATTCTTCCACATGTACAGCACATACACACAGAGAATTGAAATTGCGTTACTCTCAGACCCTTGGTGCATACAGATAACACTAACAGTAGAACATAAATACAGATAGATACAGATTAAATATAAAATACAACTATACAAATATACAATAAGGTAAAATGTAAAAAAAAAATAAAATAAAATAATTTTTTTTTTTTATATATATATAAAGCAGCACAAGGCACATGGCAGATAAGAGTGCAAACCAGTGAAGTAAACAAACAGTGCAGATATAATGATTTGTAGTGCAAAAGAGCTTATTCAGACTGATTAAAGTGACAGTGTGTGTGTGTATTTGGGAGGGGGGAGTGGGAGAGTCCGTCAGAGGGTTAGAGTTCAGTGGTGCGTGGGGCAAGAGAGGGGAGCTCTCGATGGTGCCTCTGTAGAAGGTGCACATGATGGGGGCCGGGGCTCTGGCTCTTCTTAGTTTGCGGAGGAAGTAGAGACGCTGCTTGGCCTTCCAGCCCACCACTTAGTAAAAATGCTTTTTGGTCATTTCTAAAGAGGAGATATTGACATCATTCACCACTTGTACTTTCGTGATGGTCTTCAGGTCGTCCACACGGTGTTTATACTGCATTACCTTGGTTTCGTCAATGTAAACATGGAAGTTATCATTGTCAGAGTAAATTTCAATCTGTTGAGAGACAAGGAGTCAATGCTGACTAAATCATCTTCACCCATAATCAAACATAATTCCTGCTGCTCATGATACTTTGTCAATAAAAATGTGCTCATGATGCTTTATCACCTGGAAAGGCTCTTCTATCCCGAAGGGGAAGCTGTTGCACCTCTCCTCCTGCCCCCAGTGGTTGGCCATGTAGGAGTTGCAGATGATATCCGACTCAGTGAAGCGTGGGTTTAAATGGAAGGCTATTCTGTCATCGTGGTCACACAGGAAATTGATCTCAAACCTTGAAGACAGAGAAAAACACATACGCTGTAATGAACAAATCATTTGGCCAAAACTGAACCTGAGACCACTGCTTGAAGGGCTATCATTGCGCTAAGATGATGTACTTGCATTTGAGCGTTTCTCCATCACTCTCCTACAAGTGAATGCTAAACGAGAAATGATGGGAGAAAATGACGTTTGACCCAGATTATATTTGAGCTTGTATCTATCTCTATTATAGGAATAATAATTGAACAGCATCTGAGTGGATCCCAGGAGAAATGTTATGAATAGAATAGCATATAATTTAATTGCCACATACATGTTTGTCTCCTATGATTGTCACATTATTATTGTTATGTACTGCTCTTTAGTTATGGCCGTGGAGTTGTTTTCATTGCAGTTATTCTTTATAAACAACCTGATGAATGAGTAATTCATCAGTATGAGTTATTCTAGATTCTAGAAGTATGAAGCAAAAAAGAAGATTGGTACTGATATTATCACAGAACAGAAGTATTGAATGAGGTGGGTGTGAAAAAAATAGATGACAAAAACGCTGAAGATACGTAAAGCTGGTGTATTAAAACGCATGGGCAAACAAGCAGATGACCTTATTAGATTTCTTTGAGAATGGTCTCTCTCTTGGTTCATTGGCTGATCTCATAGTCCATACTGAAGTGTGATAACAAAAGCAACTTTCATCTATAGCATTCCATTTGCGCAACAAAAAAATTATTATTTTTTTTTTTAGCAATAAGCTTTAGACCCAGCTAACAAAAAATATGTTCTTAGAATGTTTTCCTAACGTTCCAATGAAGTTCTGAAAACATTATTTCTGAATAATTACAAAAGGTTTTTTTCTTGGTTATGTGAACACTAAGGACAACATTAAAGGGAATGTCTTCAGCTCAGCTCCAGGAGACCCACCGTCCTGCAGAGTGTAAATTAAGGTCTAATTAAGCTCTTCAGGATTGTTTGGAAAATCAAAGACAAGTGTGATGAAGCAAGTTGGAAATAAACTTTGGAGGACAGTGGGTCTCCAGGAGTAGAGTTTAAGACCTAGGCTTCAAACCACCTAAAACTACTAAGCAGTAATGTCTAGACAAACATTCAACTAAAATATTTCAGAAAAACTTTACATAAATGATGTATAAATGTTTTTGTGCTAACTTGTTCAGAATGTTATTAAAAACCAGATAGCCTTGAACAAATATTCTATTAACATTACTGGAAGAGTGTTTGTCAGAATGTTACCTAAAGTTCACAGAACATTCCCTGTTAGCTGGGGAGGGATTGAAGACTTACTTGCTGGCTTCTGCTGGGGTCTCTCCTTTCAGGATGATACTCCATCCTGGACATAGACCATCAGGACAGGATGCCTCAAACTGATTCAAAATGGGG